TAGTTAGAAATGTTGACAGATTAACTTCCCTACATAATTTTAATTGACATTTGACAATAAGGCATTCCTTTGTGGTAATGCTAGTTTGTTCTCTCAACTTGAAGCACCAGAGATCTACTGTTTTGGGAGTAAAACTCAAAGTAGTTTTTCATTATTTATAATAAAGACAATTTCAATTCACGATTTTCATTTGGGATCTGCCAACTATCTCCATACTGTCATAAGGTTGTTTACGAAGTGAAAAGCTGAAACAAACAAAAATTTTATGCAACAAAACACCACAACTCAATTTCCTTCATATAGCATTCGATGGTTGTAGCCTTGTGAAGAAAGTCCTAAGAAACAAAGGCTTTGAAAGGAATCATAGCTGGGTATGGTGGTGCATGCCTTTAATCCCAGTACTCAGAAGGCAGAGGCAGGAGGTTGTCTTTGAGTTCAAGACCAGCGTGGTCTACAGCCCTAGTTCTAGGGCAGCCAAGGATACCCAGGAAAAACCCTGCCTCAAAAAAGAAAGAAAGAAATAAAGGAAGGAAGGAAGGAAGGAAGGAAGGAAGGAAGGAAGGAAGAAAGGAAGGAAGGAAGAAAGTTTACCTTTTTTGTCCCAGGAGAAATATTACAAGGAACACATAGCTGGTACTAAGTACTAAAGTCAGCCGCATGAAAACACACATGGGGCCTGTGATGCACCTGATCCTGCAAGAGTTTCAGAACCTAAGGACCAGGGAATACTGCATAGGACTTAAGGTGCAGACATTGACGGTGGATCAAAGGCAGGGTAGCTCTGGCTGCGAGCATAGCTTCAGAATGCCAGGATCCACCAGAAAGAAAAACAACAGACATTCTGTCAGAGCAAGTCCTAAAAGAAAGCAGGCAAGTGTTAGCTCAGAGATGAACCTCTAACAGACATTGTTGTCCCTTAGCCAGTAATGCCAACAAAAGCTTAGTACCAATGGGAAAAGGGAGATCAGAACATATGCGCCCCAACGCATGAACGCTGCCCCAAAACATTACCAATGAACACCCAAAATCATCACTAATAACCCGACCCAATTTACAGTGTCCCTGGGAGCAACGCAATCCACCTCAGGACTAGGGTCACTCTCCCAAGGAGCAAATGTTACCCTGATGGGCCCCAACAGCGCTCCATAAAAACAAAAAAACAAAACAGAACAAAAAAGTCTTCTGAAGCACCAAACAGAGCAGTCAACCTCAACAATCTGACAGCTGGAATGACCCCCAGCCAGGGAGGGCTCGTGCCCCTTGACCTTTGACCCCTGCCTTCCAAGGCTAAGTTCTAGAGCTGGGCTTTCGCCACAAGGCTCCAAAGCCCCTACCTGTCAAAGCT